ATAAAGCGCTAACTGTCTCCTGAATTGTCTGAGGCTTCTGTGGTCTTCGGCTGCTTTCTCTAATTTTCACGGTCAGAAGGATTCGAAGTCCTCCATCAGATGCCATCTAATGAACCTGCAGAGAAGAGAGCACTCCCCAGTCGGTCTAACTTCTCTTCATCCTCCTCCGCTTCTCTTGAAAACTGTTTGTTTCTTCTGAGACCATTGATATTACCACCTAGACTGACTTTACACAGCCCCTTAGTATCTCAGCAAACTTCATGCAGTTGTCATCGCAAATGCCTTTCAGGCTTCAGTCTTTACTGTATACGCGCGCTTGGAGCACCGCCTCGTCGAATACTTTCGGTAATTGTCTGCGATTTGTCATCTGAACCTTCTCATCGAAGGTTTGCCTGGTCCGCACCGCGTTGTGGTCACCGCCGGTGTTAAATGGTGGCGCCGGATGAGGCGGCGCTTGTCGAATAGGATAAAGTCGTTCCCGTACTTCGTCGCTGCATTGAGTGCGATCTATATCCACTTCGATGTGGTCTTCTTTTTGAATCAGGTGTTGCCGATGAACAAGCATTTCGTTTCTTCCATTCACATCAGCTGAGCTCCAAGCTCATTTCGCTCTAAACTGCTGTACCTACAGACAAACTTTTCATTAGACCGACTTCGTCCGACCATGTCACTAGTATCCTATGACTAGAGTATATTTAGACCTTGGTACCACTGCCTGTTCCAGTTCTTAACAGAATTCTTCCACCTCCTTCTCGTCAGTTGTGTGTTGTGGAACCATGGTTTTGGGCAATCTTCAAGGTCCACGTCTTGCTCAGTTGGAAGTACAGCATGTCCAGTCTTGTTTACGTCATTATTCCGGAGACAGTTTTGAAGCATCAATTTTTCTGACTATAAATCCGATTTCTAATAACTTTCAGGTATCCTAATTTTAATCATTTTTTAAAAGCGAAAACATTTGAAGTTTTTGAATAGTTCTCGAAAAATAGCGCCCGCCCCGTATGACGTTCCGATGGTCATACCTGAAAGTTATATGTCATTTCTGGGGGGCCATAATGGGACAGTGCTATCCAATATGACTGAAAATAGGAGACTAGAAGAAGGAATGTCGACAGAAACTATTAAAAAAAGCTTTAAAGGAAAGAAAATAATTCAGACGTATTTCTTCCGATACTTCAGTGTGCTGTGTTCAAAAATACAGCATAGGAACGGTAAAATTTACATAAAACAATAAAGCAAAGACGCTGATCCCCTAGTCATCAGCTGCAAGAATCTGTGACTCTTAATATCTGTCTATACTTCGAGAACGATTTCTTCATAAATTTGCAATTGAAAGGAGCTTTT